AATTCCATCCCTGCTTGTACCTCACACGAATAATGCATGCATATACGTCTATACACACGGAACACACTTCAGTATCGATACGAAAAACAGTTTCGTTACCGCACAAAAGTTGCGTTCCAGATGCTTCACGATTTGCAGGTTTTTACAGGAAGTCGTTCCAGGTGACCACCTCCCATAAGATTTATTAATGGAGAAAACAGCTGTTCCTGCAAATCGCGAATTTCGTGAATATCGTGAAGCATCTGGAACGCAACTAATATGTTGTGTTGTATTGATTCACGATGATGGTGCATATACGGAACATGCGAGTAACGAGATTATTATCCCTGCCAGCCACGGCTCACCACTTTCCCCTAAAATTCAAACGATTCACAAACACATTCATCTCACCCAAACACTTACAAATTTTTTGTTCGAACTGTCGAAAAATGTCCCGTTGTTAGAGCTACATACCCGATAAGAATTCGTACTCTAACAAGAATTCTATGCGTTAGAGCGAGCATGTTAGAAACATCGGAGTTTTGATGACAGTATACACTGTGAAGAAATTTCACTTTGCGTAAATTTTGAAGGTAAGGATACGTATTTAACAATTTTATTTAATTATAATGTAATTTCTTCTTTTAGATTGCAAAACAGCAGCGACTTAGTCACACTGTTAAGGTATGTATTGAGACTTTTTATATGTTTATAAATTTTAATTGATATTTTTGCTTGTTTACAGATTTGGGATTCACTATCAGTACCTTCAACGCTTGCATCTTCATCGCCAGGAGCACCATTAGAACCTTCTGCCCTCAGCTTCTTCATCGCCAGGAGCACCACCAGTACCTTCTACCCTCAGCTCCTTCATCGCCAGGAGCACCATGAGTACCTTCCGCCCTCAGCACCTTCAACGCCAGGAGCACCTTCAAAGTGTAGGTCCAACTTGTCAAATTTTGCAAAGTTGTAAGAAAACTTAATTTTTCTGAACCACCGTAAATGGTTTCCAACTGTTAATATATATCAAAAGAAAGGTAAACCGATTACCTTTCTTTTGATTATAACACCGTTAAAATGGCTTTACGTTTTCATAAAAACTTTGCAACTTTTGTAAACAGCTATATATAAGCAGAGGAAAAGTGGTAAAATTTTGCATAGTTGTAACAAAACAGATTTTTTGTGAACTAGTGTAAATGATTTGCACTGTTAATATATATCAAAAGAAAGGTAAACCGATTACCTTTCTTTTGATTATAACACCGTTAAAATTGCTTTACGTTTTCATAAAAACTTTGCAACTTTTGTAAACAGCTATAT